TAGTCCGTCTCCTGCTTGATGGGGTTCTCGTTGTTGGATGGCACAGGGCTGCAACTGACAGAACTTGGGCTTCTGGACTGACCACGGGACAGGTCTTCAACTCCGTCATCATTCAGAGCAGCTGCAAATATGACAAGATCAGAGTAAAATCATTAGTTTCGTTGGGAAAACCAATAATTTCCACAACATCATAATCTCCTACCGTAGGATGGACAGAATTTCATTTAATTGTGAGGGAAGAAAACTTGGACAAAAATGCAGCGTAAAATGTGTGAAAAATCTTTTTGTGTGGCTCTTTCCACTTCAACGTTCGACGTTCCCGAACGCTATGTTCATCTGCCACTCCATAGGTGTTGCCTGAATCAAGCTGCGTTGGTAAAATGATACTATTTTTTCCAGCAGTTTTAGATCGATTATTTTTTTCAAGTCGGATTTATAGGAATGAAGGTGAAATACACACCTTCTTGAAATTCTAGAAAGCACGTTGCAGTGCGAAAAACGGTGGAAGGGGTTCAGTGTTCAGCCGAACAACTCGTCAATAACTACAGTATTTGAATCTTTACACTGTACTTAAATACAGGATACAGTAATAATTTATGGAACTGAGTTGAAAGCTAACCGTCATCGGCGTCAGTCTCTTCCTTGGTGGACGCCAACTGGATCAGCATGGGCAACGGCTTGCTGGACGCGGACGAAGAGGTGGTGGACAATGCCGGCGACAGGCGGCAGCCAGCACTGGCGCCGCCGCCGGCACCAGCCGTGGCGTCCCCAGGGGTGTTGGTGCACGGAGACCCAGCAGCAGCAGCAGCAACAGTAGGAGCGTTGCCAGATGCACCCGATGGATCTGGGTCTGAGTCACGGTACGGCTTGCAGTACGAGTACCGGTGGTTCATGTGCTGGGAATAGGAGCCCGAGTGCGAGAACCGCTTGTGGCACTTGCTGCACTGGAACGGCTTCTCGCCCGAATGCAACCGACTGTGCTCCGTCAAGTGGTGCTTGTGCTTGAAGGCCTTGCTGCAGACCCCGCATTTGTGCGGACGCTGGCCTGCAATG